ACCGGGGAGTCTATTGGTAGCTGGCCTCTAGACACATATTCCAAGAGTCCAGGAATTCAGAGGAAACTCCATGGGGTTGACGCTTGTTCACCAGGCGTGCACCTCTTCAAGGCTTAACGATAATCAAACCATGGTCAGGTAACTTTTGGAAGCCCTCTCTTACATATGAACCCTTACACGGTCGAATCGGATTGTTTATCTTGAGACGACCCTTCCTTCGAAGTCTTGTCTGAGCATTGATGTCCGAAATCGCGCTGACAGGCCAATTTCCCGTTATGTGCGCGCTCAAGACCCGAAGCCATGTCAAGGCTGCGTGCGGTCCAGAGAGTCTTCATGCGACTAGTGACCTGGTAGAGAGTGACGATTTACCTTGGTTACGCCGCTGTATCATTTCATCACTGTGCCTATACTGAAGGCTGCAGGACCTAGCGCTGAATGACGTTGCTACTTGTTGCATCGATCTGTCGTCCTTGCCACACGAGGATCGTTGATCGGAACCGGCCTTGTAAAGCATGAGAGAATGAAGTGATCAGCCATTGTTTGAAACAACTAAGACGGGTATGACGTTGAGGAGGAAGAAGAAGCCTGGAAAGTCGAGATGAATCCAATGATCCTGGAGGATGAACTAAGCCCAAAGTGGCGCTGGTATCACACCCTACTCTTGGCACCCAAAACGGCTCCAACGAGCATCATGTTCTCGGCAATTGTTCATCATATTCGGCGCTCTTCGATCTGGAATTTTCTCTATGGCAGGGCTATTGATAGCTTCACCTACTCTACACCTTGTTTCTGCGTCTCGTCACGAGTTCCTAGCCATCGCCCAAGCCCCAAGAATCCGGCGAAGACTTCCTCCCATCTACTCACGTGCCTCCTGCTCCTGGTCATGGTCACGCCCAAAGCTCTCGCAGCCACCTTTAGTGCCTCTCCGTCTGCAGAGACCTGCGGAATGCCATCCCCGACAGAGTAGCCTATTTAGTACCTGCTTAGCTCTGCAACATCCGGACAATGGAGAGAAGCCCCAGGTGCCAGACCAGGGGAATGGAAAGGTAGGGTTATATCTTTTTAGGCCGTTTCTTCAAACTACCCTTCAAGTCTGCACCAAATGTCTCCTTCGAGTATCGAGGTCTGACTTCATTCCTACCAACATCGGTGTTGACATCAGAGATCCTCTGAACACAAGCCCTAGCCCCTTGGTAATCCGTCGTTCCATAACACAGGATTATGCTGCAACTCCAAGAGATACTGAAAGTCCTTTGTGTCTACATCCCCTAGCCTGGGTCATTCTTGACCCTTTCCCCTAAGAATCTAATAAAGTCTTTTCCTCCAACAGCTTGCGATCTTGTTCCTCCTCATACTATCATTCATGGCAATAAATCATCATACTTCTAAGCCCCATCAACCTAAACATATCCAATCTCTATTCTCTCTTATCATCTATCCCACTCCTTACACAATCTTCACAGCACCCAACTAACCCCACCCAGATCCCTCTCTCAACCCCAACATCCCCCAAGAAACCCCGCCACGAGAACATCTACAACATCCCCAATATTCTAACCTTCTCGCGCCTCCTCGCCACCCCAGCAATCGGCTACCTAATAATCACGCACCAACCGCTCCACGCCTTCAACCTCTTCCTCTACGCCGGCTTCTCCGACCTGCTCGACGGCTGGATAGCACGAAAATGGCATCTCCAAACCGTCGTCGGTTCCGTCGTGGACCCCATGGCCGACAAAGCCCTCATGACAACCCTCGTCACGTGCCTCGCGCTCAACGGCTCCCTGTCCGTACCCCTCGCGACGCTGATCCTGGGCCGCGATGTCTCGCTCGCGATTGCCGCCATCTACTATCGGTACGCGAGTCTACCGCGTCCGAAGACGCTGGCGCGGTATTGGGATTTCTCGTTGCCATCCGCGGAGGTGCATCCGACGACGATATCCAAGTTCAACACATTTTTGCAGTTGGGCTTGATTGGGACGACCATGTGTGTGGCGCTGCTGCAGGATCCTGTGGCGGTCAATTCGGCGGCGGGAGGGTTGCTGCAGAGTGTGCGGGAGAGTCTTGGGGGGGAAGAGGGCGTGAGGAGTATGGTGCAGTGGATGAGTGCGGTTGTAGCTAGCACGACGATGTATAGTGGGTTGAGTTATGTGTGGACTAAGGATGCTGTTACGATTCTGGGCGACAATGAGGCTTTGAAGAGGAAGCAGGGGTTTCGGGGTAGGATGATTATCGGAAGCAGTTATGGGGTGTTCATCGTGGTTGCGGCTTGGTTGGTAGTTAGGGAGTGGGTGCAGAGTGAGGAGGATGCTATGAATGAGAACAGGCAGTAGAGGGGGATGGTTGATTGACAGCAAGGATGATTGAATGGAGAGCGAATGGAAAAGCGGGCATATGTATTATATGGGTATTTGGCGCATTTGTAGTTTCTTTTATACATGTGTTGTACAAGCCGTGTTGCCTCTATACAGATTGACCCTTGCTTTTCCGCGCAATAAGCCCCATTGATCAAATCCGAACTCCCTAGACTGGGTTTCCCGGTCCTTTAGAAAGTCTCCAAGTCCTTGAGTCTAGAATCTGAAGTACCCATGAATATCTTCTTCCTCGCCTCGATCTCCTCTCTCAGTCTTGTCTCCTTTTCTTCCTTGCTCACGCCCTTCACGTACTGTAGCAACCTCAAGGCGCCCGTAGGGGTCATGCCCTCAACCCGTCTCGCCTGTCCCACACTTTCGGGTCGGGCTGCTTTCAGCGTCTGTTTTTCTTCGAAGCTGAGTCCAAAAATGCTCTCATACTCGAGATCAACCGGCAACCTCAAGCTCTCATCCTTCATCCATCGCTGCTGCGTAGCTTCCTGGTACGCGACATACGGGGCGTAGACCGCATTGATCTCAACTCTATTATGTATCCTCGGCGAAAACTGAGAGATTTCAGGAACGACCTGAAGTAGAGAGCTGCATGTTGTGTTTGCCATGCGCAGGATATCGCAGGCTGACCGTTTGCTAGAATCATTGCGGACGCCAAAGCCCTGCTTGTTCCAGTCGATCCAATTCATCGTCTTTGTTTGCATGAGATGGGTCAATGCCGCGATTTCCTCGGCTTCGCGTTCGAATGCCGTCCAGCGCTTGTCGGTCACCACGCCAGCAGCTCGACCCATGGCGGTTAGGCGGGTGTCGGCGTTGTCCGCACGTGCGGACATTCGGTACTCAGAGCGCGAAGTAAACATGCGGTAGGGCTCTGATACGCCTTTCGTGACGAGATCATCGATCATGACGCCAATATAGCCATCAGCTCGGGTCAAAACCAATGGATCTTTGCCTTGAGCCGCGAGGCCAGCATTGATTCCCGCGATGACTCCTTGCCCCGCAGCTTCCTCGTAGCCGGTCGTTCCATTGATCTGGCCGGCCAAGTACAGCCCGGAAATGTTTTTCGCCTCCAGGGTGGACCGCAAATTTCGGGGGTCTACGTAGTCGTACTCGACACCGTATCCGGCCTGTAGCATCTTCACGTCCCCAAGGCCGTCTATTGTTTTCAGCATTGCTAATTGTATGTCCTCTGGGAGCGTCATGGAAATGCCGTTCGGGTATATGACGTTATTATCGAAGCCTTCCGGCTCTAGCCAGATGATATGCGAATCCTTTTGCGCAAATCGAATGACTTTGGACTCTACCGAGGGGCAGTAGCGCGGGCCTTTGACGGTCTCGCGGATATGTATAGATTTATCGAGGTTGTCTCTTATGATCTGGTGTGTCGCATCGTTGGTCCGTGTCTGGTAGTTCAGCAGCTGCTTCTCCACTTGTACCTTATCATTCAGGTAACTGAAAGGCTTGGGTGGGTTGTCGCCTTCTTGTGCTTCGAGCACTTTCCAATCGATGGAATCACTGTCCAGTCGCGGCGGCGTCCCTGTCTTGAGTCGACCTAAAGTGAATCCCGCATCCCGCAATGATTTACTCAGGCCAAAAGTCGCAGCTTCACCCATACGTCCCGAAGGATACGCTTTGAGTCCTGCTAGACTTAGCAGGGATCCCCACCTCATTGCATTTTAACGTACCGATATGTATCTCCCCTCCCAAGAAGGTGCCAGTCGTAATGACAACCTTGTCCGTAGTTATGACCTCTCCACTCTCTAGCCGCACCCCCGTAATCGTCCCATACCCTCCTTCTCCCTTGCCAGCCTCTTTATCCACAATGATATCCGCCACACTGCCCTCCACGACCTCCAAGCCCTCTTTCGACGTCATTTCCTCCCGCATGTACTGTTTATACAGCGCCCGATCGATCTGGGCTCTAGGTCCCCAAACCGCTGGTCCCTTCTTACTATTCAGCACCCGAAACTGCACACCAGCTTTGTCCACTATACGCCCGACCACACCGTCCAGCGCATCGATCTCCCGCAGCATTGTCCCTTTGCCGATGCCGCCGAAGGAAGGATTGCACGAGCATACGCCGAGGTTATCGAGTTTGGGGGTTACGAGAGCGGTTCGCGCACCAGACCGTTCTGCGGCGGCTGAGGCTTCGCAGCCTGCGTGGCCACCGCCGATGACTACTACATCGAATCTTCTACATGGAATTAGCATCTGAACTTGTAGAATCAGGAGGGCCAGAGGATGGTGCTACTGTACCGGGTTGAGCCAGAGTCGGAAATGGTAGCAAAAGTTCTACGAGCGCGGGTGATGGACCGCACGCGAGGCGCATGACCCCAGAGCAAATGCGCTCTTCGGGTAAACATTGTAGTAGGGGAGGTGTGGACAATTGCTCTCCAACACGAAGCAGACGCGGAGTTGCGACTTAGGCGGGCGGAAGTTTCGACTAATCACGTGCTCACTCCCCATTCCAACGGCTGTGTTGAGCCGAGGACATTCTGAATCTGATTGGTGAACAAAGCGGATGATCATTAAATGACACGAACGATGCCAACGCTCGACTACTGCTACACATGAGCTGTGCATTACAGATTGTTCAGCTATGTATTATATGATAACCTCAAATCACGCCATCAATCATCTGGATCGGTAACTCAGTGGTAGAGTGGAGGACTGCAGTATCATACTACGGCTTCCTTAAGTCACCGGTTCGACTCCGGTTCGATCCTTGAATTGATTCTCTTTTGCTGTTTCTGGTTGATCGCGCACATCGGCTCGTCATTCCTACCGTCCTCCCGGCTTTGTTGCCTCGATTCTTTTGCACTCGGGTCCTGACGCTTTGAGAAGGGGTCTAGGAAATGTGGCAGCAGAATAACAGGAAGAGATTCGTTTAAGCTACCTAGGTAACTCCTATCGCCATAATTATCACATGTGTATACTTCTGTACGCATGGCGCAAACTGTCTTTGAGGCTCCGTAATACAATTGAAATCTCACCCAGCCACTCGACCCCAATGCAAAGCTGTCCCTACCGTCGACTATGAGAGAGATGTTCTGCCTGCGCATCCACTCTACTCAGAATCCTCTCCGCGCTCTCCTCAGCCGAGAAACCCGTCGTATCGAAAAATGGCCCATGACTAACCTCAACACCGCTTTCCCACTCCGGAATCGCTAGCTTATACTTGTTCATCATATTCGCCAGAACATCAACATCGCTAAGCTTACTCTTCCCCAACCTATACCGCTCATCGGCATAGAACCGGTCTTCATGTTCAATCAGGTCACAGGTGATATCGAACAGGAAGAAGGGCACTTGAGCAGCTTTTGCGACCGCGATGTGTTCGGAAAGTACAGCGGTGTCTTCAGGTACATCGGCAAGACAGCTCGTCATGAGCACTGTAAGTGGAGACTTCTTGAGCTCTGCGATCAGGGCTTCGAAAGCGATCTGGCGAATCTCCTTTCGTAGGGCGTGGTGTGCGGCACTTCGACCTGGAATTGATTGCTTGCGCCGGATCGATGAGGACGTGGTTGTCTAGTAGGCGAGTTGTTTGCTCAGGCAACATCTTCTGGACGGCGCGTGCGATTGTGAGTTTACCGACACCGGGAAAGCCGTTAAGGAATATGATGCAGCTCGGTCTTGGACGGTTGGTGATAGGAGGATTCAAAGAAACCGTGCTCGAATCATTGCTAGTATCTTTGGCTGGGAATATCGTGTCCTCGATGCCAGTTTCCTGATCTGCAATCTTCCAGGCACCTCTTTGCAGAGGCGGTTCACTGTGGGTTTTGCGCGTTCGAGGATTGAGCATGTTTGCTGAACAATGGTATCGTCGCAGGTTCTGGTGTATCGAGATGAGTGATCCTGATGACTTTCAAGATGGTGTATGAAGCTGGAATGGTCTTTGTAGCCCAGAACTGACTCACCATAACGTTTTCCCGCTGTGTCACACCGAGCCGTGAGGCAAACGATTGGAACCGAGCTTTTGAGTGACAAATTGACAGTAATGGATTTTTGTACGGACCGCCGTCTATGCAATGTGAAGATAGCTGTTGGCAATTCCCCCTTCCAAAACTTCCAGCATCCCAAAGGATTCCTAAACCTGTTCGCCTGATTATGAAAGTTCAGGCGAGCTCAGAACACAGGAAAATGGTGTTACAATAACCGACTCTGCAAGTGTGATAGTGCCAACCCATCATCATCTCAACCTCCAACCAACGTCAGCCGCACCTTCTCAAGCCCTCCCAAATATAAGCAATGATCCCGCGATATGCTGCCGATAGATTACGCCATGATACCAGAGCGTATGGAAACTGTCTCGAAAAGTGCCTAGAGGCAAAGAAGGGTAGTGGTAGTATTACAGGGTCGATGCTTAGATTTCTCCGTCCGCGACCGCGAGCCGTTGCTTGGCTGTTTTAGCCTTCTTGCTCATGCCTTTCTTCTTCTTGCCAGGGCCAGGGCCGCCTTCCACGGCAGGGACAGGAGTAGCTGCACCACTCGGCTTCTCGCTAGTATCGAAATTGCCTTCTCCTAATGCAGCTGTTAGTATGTGTAATGTATAGGATGATAAGGTGGTACTTGAGACTGACCTTCGTGGTACATGTCATCTAAACTCGCCTCTGGCCTCTTCCTCTTTCGCTTGCGACCTGGCGGTGCATTCTTCTCCGCCTCTGCGATCTCAGCTTCCTTCTTCTCGATCTCGGCAGCTTGCTCATCATCTGCAAGCCACATGGCGATATCCTTGGTCCGATTTTCTCTAGACCGAGTGTTGAAGTCAACTTGAGCTCCAGCACCGCCCGAAATGACGACGCGTTGTACTTCTTCCTTTTGCAGAGCACGCTTGCGGATACGCTCTTCAATGGTACCACGCGTGATCAGACGATATACGGTCACTTGTTTGGTCTGGCCCAAACGATGAGCGCGATCCATAGCTTGAGAATCGATAGTCGGGTTCCAATCGGAGTCATAGAAAATGACCGTGTCGGCAGAGGTCAAGTTGATTCCCAGACCACCAGCACGTGTCGATAACAGGAAAACGAAGATGGTTCTATCGTTTTGGAAGTCGGCGACAGTGTCGCGACGGTCTTCAAGTTTCGTTGAACCGTCCAATCGCACAAATTTGTAGCCACGGTATGTGAGATATTCTTCCATAAGATCGATCATCCTTGTCATCTGGAAATAGAGAAGCACCCGGTGATCATTGGCCTTCAATTCCTTCAGCAGAGCGTCTAACCGGCCAAGCTTGCCTGAGTCAGTGACAAAGCGATGCATTGATGGCACTTCGATATTAGTGTATCGAGCCTTGAGGTTCGTTGGCGGTGGCAGTCTGCTGCGTGGTGCAAGGGCGGTGCTGTCAACCTTGGAGTCAAGGATCGCTTGCTCTGTCTTTCCAGACACGCCATAGAGAGCCGTGCGCATTGATACGTCGAAGAAGTCCCTTTGTTTCTCAGCAATAACGCCTTGACTGGAGCAATAGAGCTCGACAGGTGGTGCTGAGGCGGCAGGCTTAGCGCATCGCTCCGTAAGATCAAGCCCGGTATCCTCAAAAGCAGTCTGCGACACGTTCAGAAGGTTCCGCATATAACCCTCGGAAGTGATCTCAGCAAGAGGCGCGCGGTCCTGACGTTGAACGATGTTGAGCATTGACTGCTTTGGCACGTGCTTTCCGTTATCATCATCGTAGAATACCTCGAAACGACCGATCTGTGGAGGCTTCTCTGCTAGGTCGATTGCGCGTTGGGAAAGGTTTTGTTTGGCGATTCGGGACGCTTCGCCCACTGACACATCTGCAAACCGCAGCCAAGAAAATGCACCGTTGTCTCGGGCAGATTGCTGCATATTCTCTGTATTCCAGACGTTCATCAAGTTGTAGAGGTAGTGTCCCCTGAAGCCGGCTTTGGGATTTTCTGCACCAGCCACGTCGAGACGGCCGCCGTTACGGCCAATGAGGCGGGGCAATTGGTACTCGATGAGACTGCGGGTGGAATATGCAACGCGAACATTCTGGCCTTCTCTGAGGAAAGAAGCGGTCTCGGCGAAGTAGGCAAAGGAAAAGGGCGACCACGTGTCTGCGCGTTCAAACAGGTCGGGATGGTTGCAGACCTTACGGAACTGCATGACCAAGTTCATCAGGGTCGCACTGTCCTGGTCGTCGCCAACGGCCTTTTCAATGAGATCCATGATGCTAATCTTGTTCCGAAGGTTCGTGTAGTACGCCCGCTGCCGGTATGTCAGGTCGCAGAAGACATCCAATTCAATCTTGTCACCAAGCTCCTTCTGCACATGCTTCTTCACACGACGCAACATGAAAGGTTTGAGAATCATATGCAATCGCTTCAGTTGGTCTTCGTTGAGCTTGGTGTTGCTCTGAGCGTGGCTCTCGATATCCTTGGAAAACCAGTCGCTGAACTCATCGTGAGAGTCGAACAAACTTGGCATGATGAAATGCAGCAGGGCCCACAGTTCCTGCATGTTGTTCTGGATGGGCGTACCCGTGAGAAGGAGACGGTTACGACAGTGGAAGCCGAGCAAGCTCTTCCATCTGGAACTCTGAGATGACTTAATGGCTTGCGCTTCGTCCAGAATCATATATTGCCAGCGGATCTTCTGGAAGTATTGGGCGTCTTGCACGACCAGCTGATAGGAAGTCACGAGCACGTGAAAGGGTGATTCCTTGGTGTAGGTGACGTGCTTTCTGTCCCAAAACTTTCTGAGAATCTTGCGATCCTTGGCGTTGCCCCAATATGGTAGAACTTTCACATCGGGGACAAACCTCGTGATCTCTTGCTGCCAGTTATGTAGAGTTGAAGCTGGAGCAATGACCAAGAACGGACCCCAGACATTGTACTTCTCGGCCAGGTAAGCCATGACCGATATGGATTGTACTGTCTTTCCGAGGCCCATTTCATCGGCTAGAATGCCGTTGATGCCTTGCTCGTAAAGATTGACAAGCCAATTCAGACCCTTCATCTGGTACTCTTTCAAGGTGCAGTTGAGTAGTTTGGGCTGCGATATTTCCAGGTGGCTTGGAAGACTGGAGGGGTTCTGGAAGTTCATCTCTCCATCGTCAAATCTCTCCTGCATGTCGTTGCCAGTGTCAGTGTCAAAGGCGCGTGCACGGTTCAAGTCCCTCTGTATCGCATTGTGAGCATTGGTAGCTGCAGCAGCATCGATGGTGCTCTGGTCCGCATTGTCGAAATCGAGGTCGTCGGCTTTCACATCCTCGCCAGGTTTGGCGCTAGAGACATCCACGAGTGGTTGGCTCGTAGCAGACGGCTGTCCAGATGCGGCAGCCGCATCAGCATCATCAGTCGATCTCTCGATTTCGTCTGTGCGCGCCTTCTTGCCGATGAAATGTGAGTAGAGCTCGGTCTGTGAGATGAGGAAATTGAGCTTTCGCTTCTGGCGATTGGCTTCACGTTCAGCTTCTGCCTTCTTCGCGTTCTCAAGTTCTTGACGCTCGGCCATCTTCCGTTGATCACGTTCATCGCGCTCGTTCTTCTTCCAGAAATTGAGCATCTCGCGCATACTCCTCTTAGCACGGGCTTGAACATCTTTCATGCTCTTGTTCGTGCGCATTTGCCATCGCCGGGCCTCCTTCGATGCAAGCTGAGCTGTTTTACGGAGATTAGACTGCTTAGTAGACAGTGAGGTCTCCTTGATCCGCACGACTTTGGGTATGTCCTTTCGAGCAATGTCTTTCCAGATCTGGTTGTATAAATTGATGTAAGCTTGG